GTCCATTTTGGTTGAGGCAACACACCTGGCAATAAACAACCTCCAGGAGTCACAAAGGGGTGGTTTTTAATTCCTAAGTGAGTGGATAATGGGCACCCCTATCCTCCAATAGGCACCCCTTTGTGACTGCTGGCTATTTTCAGAAGACATGGTGTCATGGTTTTTGAGCAATTCAGGTGTCGCCTGAGTATTGGCAGCCTCGTGGCCAACTTGGACCGTGGCCAGTGTGCCTCCGGTGCCTTTGAGTGGCAACTCGCGCTCACCGAGCCTCGGACTGAGATGGAAGGAGTGGTCACCAGTGGACTGTTGATAAATTGAATCCCCCATATGACCCATATCCATGACCCAAGTCTAGGAATTTCCTTTATTCTAGGGTATATATTATATGCATTAATTATATGGGGATCCTAAAACATATTACTGTAAAACCATTCTGGGACGGGGGGCTTGATGGATCAGCAGTCTACATGCCCCAGCTTGGCGCCATGCCGTCCGCGAGCCGAGCCAAGCGTCCAGGATCGCCACGGTCCGGTGACGGAGTTCGCCCTGCTGGACAACGATCAGCGGATCATGCCTGCGGAGCAGATGAGCTTTGGCTGCAGGGAGTTTCTAGGATCCCTCAACCCTCATGTGAGATGGAAGGCCAGTCCCGAAGAAAGAATGTTGTGACTTGCTTGAAATGCTTGAGTTTGGGGGGTGTGAACCTAAGTCAACCCCCATAGCCTTCAAGAAAAAAAAACAGAAGGCCACGGCACCAGTTCGCGTGAAATCGCATGGTCGGTGTTGGCTCCAGGATTGACGCCCAGACCTTGGCGCCACTGGGCGCGGAGTGCAGCTCGGTAGTTGGACTTGGCACATGTCGTGCAGATGTTGGTCAACTCGAGGGTTTTACGCTGCAGGATGCCCCACCAGACTCTGGGGGGAATCATTCCCAAAGGCAATCCTTTCCGTGGGGGCCGAGTGTTAGGTGTACGATGGGGATTGGAACCAGAAGTGGGGTGGCCACAGTTCCTCAAGGCAAATATACCACGCACATTGTGACACAGGTGGTGACGGGTGATCGTCAGCTGGTGAAGGGCATTTTGCCCAGCATTGGGATGCATTGGGAGCATCGCATCACCTGGTGGGCGCATCAGAGCCATCATTTTCTTCTGCCCCACTGACCAGCAGCACTAGAAGAAGCGGAAGAAAGTGGATGGAACCACGCGGCAACCACCACCCAAGCTCTAGTGACCAAACATGCCAGCCGTATTTGGCTCAGAAGAACTCCCCCATCTCCCCCCCCAAAGTCACTAAAACAGAATCAAGAAGACCGAGCAGCTCGATCATTCGACCATTCCAATGCAGAAGCAAACCAGCAGGAAAGAAGAACTCCTGTTGCCACCTTCACCTTTCATGATTTCATTGTTTTATTTAGTCCGATTTTTCACTGTTCACGCAGCCTCTTACACAGGTGCAAATAACTATATACATGATACATGTCGTTTTATAAGCACCTAAAGTAGCATTATATATACACACGCATGCATTTGTATAATATTGATACTGTATATATATATATATATGTGCAGGCAGGCAATTTATTTACAAACCACCCAAAATCACCACGCTTGGCTGGGCATGAGTTTGGCTGCGCTAGGTGCCTTGAGCGACGGGGAGCCCGACGGTCCTGGCAACTTGGTTCCCCAGTTTCAGTGACCAGAAAAGCATGTCAGCCTAGAGATGGCTGGAGGTGTTCGGTGCGAGAGTTGCGCACGACTGCTCGCATGAGACGTATAGCGTATGTCAGGCGCTCTGCGTTGTAAAATCAAGTTGCTGTTCAAAAATACCACTTGCAGTTGAGACATCAAAAGAGTCAAGTCCCAAACCTGGTGCCACACGAGGTGTTGACAGTTGCTCTTTTACACTTTGAGTACGAAACAGTGAGCAGCATTCAAAGTCTTTGACTCGTAGAGAAATCAATCAGGGTGCCCATTTTCTTTAGTATCTTTAGTGCAGGTCAAGATGCTTGAATAATTTGGGCCTTCATGTTTTGACTGAGCCGCTTATTATATGCTTTTAGGTGGTAACCTTGCTGAGGACCAACCCAGGGCACATGTCCAACTTGCATGATTCCGTTTCATATGAGAGCACAGATGGCCTTTCCGGGTCCGTTGGTTGTCGGTGCCATGTTTCTGCCGTTCTTCATGCCAACTCGGCACTCCAGTGAGTCCAAGCGGAGTTGCCCTTCGTCTAAGGATGCTGGTCACCCAAAGGCTTTTGGGAGTACAGGCGTTTCTTTGGGCATGGGATTGTTGGTCGGATCTGCTCCGGATCCCGTTTGGGATGATGAAAGGGAGAAAACGGGGCGAGTGGAGCTCATGGGCGTGGGCCGTGGGGCTCCAAGACTCTTGAGACGGCGAGTTTCGCTTGCAAGACTCATCATCGGGCATTTCCGGGATGTTCACTGGGTGGTGGTTTGAACGACTCCACAGGCAGGATGCAGAGACCATCGTTGATGGCCTCGAGAGTCCATTCATGTTGATTCTTAGGTACACATAACATAACCAGACCCAGGGACGCGCATTGGTCTGGCTGAGGGGATAACGGAGAGGAGGTCTTCCTACATAGGGGTTCAGATCTATTTTTTCCCATGCTTGCAGCTGTCATAGAATGAGCCAAAATGAAGTGTTCCCAGTGCGCCCTAAGGCCCTAAGGATTGTACTTTACCTCTTGAGCACTGCAGTGAAGCCTCCCCACCCCCCTGGACCTGCAGGTTTTCCAGCTGCGTAGCTCCTGGATATCTCTCTGTGGCGTTGAAGGAGTGCCGAACATCCGTGTTTTCAGCATTCAAACGACATGTCCTGGAAAGAAGCGAAAGGAGGTGATACAAGGTGCCAGGTGCCAGTGTTTTCTTCCAAGAAATCAGTACAGTAAGTTAAGGATCCACCAAAGCCGGTGGCAACGCTCCGGTCCTTCGACTGCGTTTGGAGGCGTCATTCATTGGGTTAATGGAAAAGGAAAAGCAATGAACGCCCGAAAATGCAACTGGGAAATGCAACCTGAGAATGCTTGGCAGAAGTTTGAGTTGGCTCAAGCATTGATTGATGAGTTGCGTTGATCGATGAGGAAAAAGCAAAACTCGCTTCCTCATCTTTCTCGGATCCTGCTTGGCCAACTCCCAAGGATTCTTGTGGTATTTTCCTACGTTTTGCACCCTGCCAGGACCAAGCTGAGGTCCCTGCCTCATCGCTAAGAGTTCGATATGCCACTGCTGCAGGGGAGTGGAAGAACTGCGACCTGGTGAAGATTGGTGAAGAGACAGGGAAAGACACTACAAACCTCCTCTTTTCCGTTGTGTAATAGATGTCGGTAGGTTGTGGGAACCTGAGAGGACATGGATGGTATAGGTCTGGGATAGTGCATTCTGCTCCCGGTGTCATTAGTCTTAGTCATTTGTGCGTTGAGGGTTGAGAGTTGGGACAGTGGGGCATGACCACAAAGCCATAAATAGTTTGGAATGTGAACCCATGCAGCGAGCGTGGACTACTTGTTCAGATGTGTGAGCTACAAATATGACTCTCCGGAAAACTGAGGTCAGAAAACAGACGAAGTCGAACAGGGCACCAACAAAGTGTAAGTAAGCTGACAGAACGTTCCAAGACTGGTGTGGGCATCTTAATCTCAGACTCTTGCCAAGGCACTTTTAGCTCCACACAGATCTCTGGACGCTTTCACCTCTCCTGCTTCATCGAAGAGCCCTTGGCATCCGCTTGGTGGGAGGACTGAGGATGCTGCCGAGATGTGGCTTGCCTTGTTTCAACTGCAGCGTTGTAGCCATCTATGCGATACAATACGATAATCATATTATATATGGCTGGCCCATAGATCGACTTCAGCATGACAATGCTCAAGCAATACGGGGGCGCAGCATTTGGTGCACTTGATTCTATGTTTTGGATGCCCTCCTGCGGCAGGCTGGACTCAAACACCAACTCTTGGGAACGGGATGCGGCTTAGCAGGGTCGTTGCATATGGGAACAGGGAGCAGGGACAGCGAGAGAGAGAGAGAGAGAGAGAGAGTGAGCGCGAAATGACGTGCCCAACTCACGGGATCTCACGGGGGAAATGACGTTTTCCAGGGTCTCCTTCGTTACTCCGTAACAACCTGGGGTGGGATGTGATTATGAAGGGCCTTCGACTTCTTCCCTCATCACTCAAAACGAGTTGGGTTCAGCGCTGGCTGAGGTTTTGCGATGAAAAGCGCGCAAGAACAAAAAGACGCCCCTTTAGACGATCGCATTCGGTCGTTTTAGACGATCGCATTCGGGGAGATTCCGCACCGACCGGGTCAGTCATCCCCAAAAAGCAATGATCACCAATACAAATGATGATTGATCATCAAACTGGCCACTGGTGTGTGATGTTGTTATCCGATGTGATCCGTTTGTTAATAAAAGTGTTTTCCAACAAGGATGTTCTCTTTGTTTGCGCTGACGTCCGGCCGGCGACCGGACCGATCCATCGGACCGGGCGCCGTCGCCTCGGTGCTGCCAATTCGTGCAGGGCATCTTGCACTTACTGTATATAAGCTCGTCATCTTCTTTTACGTAAAACATATACGTGTTTTTAAGACTCTTCTTTGCTTTAACGATCATGTGGATGTTTGCCTGAGGTTGATGCAATGTGTAAAGTGACATGATTGCAAGTCCAACCTCCCCCCAACACATATAACCACTTACATTCTTTCCGGGTGAAGGAGCTGGAATGGCACCAATTTGGGTTTATGTGCACGGAGGTTCGACTTGCTGTCGTTCAGAATTCCACCAAGATAACGTTTGGAGTCTCGGATGGTCGTCAGGGTCACGCGGCGATTGCTTGCGAAACCCTGCAGTTTCAAGCCCGTTTAGGCGCTGCGGTTGGGACATGCTCATGGTCTAATCCTCATCACGCACCCCAAAGACGCTGCTTTGGATATGTTTCAGAAATCCGGGTTGCCTTTTCCGACGTCCGTTGCCGCCATGCAACCTTGTTTTGCGAGCTCTCCGAGACGGATGCTTGCACTTTGGGTTTGTGCCGCTGGGACCGCAGACGAAGGGCCAGAGACCACCTAATGCGCTGAACTGGTTGGTTGGTCGGATGACTGGCAGTCCAAAACAGTAAGAGTGAGGGGTCTTGGGCGGCAAGATGGCGTTGGATGGAGTACTTAATGACGCTTAATTTAAATATAAACTCTCAGACGCTTTAGTCAAACTTTAGTCGCATCAGTTTGCACAAAATGTTGCAATTCCTTGCGGCGAAAGCTCTTCGGGAAGTCGCATCGGTTTTCATTATTCCATGCTGTTTGAGAGTTGTTGAGGACATGCAACATGCACATATTTATTTGGCATTCGGCCAGGTCCGCCGCCCCAAGGAGGCTTTGGGCTGTAAGAACAAAGCGATGAGTAGCAGAATTGATCTGGACAAGGCCCGGCATAGGCATAGGATAAGTTCAAGATAACGGTGTTTGTCGCCGATGGATGATTATATATTCGTTGTGCTTCATGCAGCAGAATCCTTCCAGGGATCATGTGCTTCGATTGAAGAACGCAGTCCAGGGCGAGGGGGTGGAAAGGTGATGGAAGGGTGTGAGGTGCATACAACTTTCCGCAACACACGTATTGCCTTGGCATGAGAGTTGTTGATCAGTGCAATATGTCCGGCATGAGATACAAGTGCCCATCGGCGGTCGATGATTATCCGTCGCAGCTCATGCAGCACAACCTTGCGCACATCATTTGCTTGGAAGGGGGGGTGAGGTTAGCGAAAAAAGAATCCGCGCCAAGGTCATTACAAGCAACCTTCCACAAGACACGCCTACTGCATGTGGCAGGGGGTCGGCGGATTCCAGCTATCCTGAGTGCTGGCACCGTTTAAGGGGGCCGCTCTTGGAGTCTGGGTGCTGGTGCGCCTACGGTGTCTGCGGCCGTGTGCTGTTGCATGCTGCTTGGCTGCTCCTGCTTTTGTGCTGCTTGCGTGCTGCTGCTGCTGCTGCTGCTGCTGCTGCTGCTGCTCGTGTATTGTTGCTCCTCCATCACTGTAATCGGACGGGTTTGAAGCAAAACTCAATATGTGTGGCAACCGGTAGGAATCTGTAAACGCCGTGTAAACAGGAACCTGGTGTGACTAAAGTTGGTGACAGTGATTGGCCGTCCAGAGATGCCCAGAGCGCTCCCAGAGAGATCCGGGTTTGGGTGCTCTTTGCGCTCTTTGGGCATGGGTTCCGGCAAGATGGAAACGCCGTCTCCAAGTGAGAAGGGGCCCTTCAACACCGTGCCAAGTTTAAACACTTCTCCCAATTCACGTGTTTGGGCCTAAAAAAAGAACGCACCGTGTAGCGGTGTGAACAGTGCCCCAGCCGGGCCCCGGGTTTCACCTTTTCTGACAACGGACCTTCCCATGTCAATACATGTTACAGAATTAGCATCCTTCAAAACTTCCGCCACGATGTGCGTTGATGAGTTGATGGCAGGTACTCAAGTTGACAACGGCGCGTGAGAGATCAGGTGTTCCAAGTGTTCTTGACAAATGTTCTTTTCCGGGGGAAAGGTCAAACATGTATATTACCATGTGCTGTACAGTGTTTGTGTTTTATAATGCTTGCTGAAATGATTTCTGTCAACGGAAAAAGGCAATGAAATGAATTGGGTTCCCTGAAGACAAATATTATTCGGCGATAGGGGCCAATAGTAGATCAGGAAAATGGATGTGGGTCCGGGTGAGGTATGAAATCGAGAAAGTTCAAGAATGTGATCGTGGGCCAGATTTCCAGATTTCCTTTCGCGTACGGTTTTTTTGATGCTGGATGTGACCACAATTCTTTTTTCCCCACCTGTCAGGTGAGGGTTGTTAGATTTTATGTCAGCCCCATCTCCTCCTCCTCCTCCTCCTCGTCCTCCTCCGCCGGACCTCAACCACGACCATCCACGCCCAGTGTTCCCTGCCGGACCTCAACCACGACCATCCGCGTCCAGTGTTCCCTGCCGGACCTCAACCACGACCATCCGCGCCCAGTGTTCCCTTCCGGACCTCAACCACGACCATCCACGCCCAGTGTTCCCTTCCGGGCCTCAACCACAGCACAACACAACCACAAGCACAACCACAAACACAATTGTTCACAATCACAAACGCAACCACAAACACACAACCACAAACACAATCACAAACACAACCACAAACACACAACCGCAAACACAATAACAAACACACAACACACAGCCACAACCACACAATCACAAGCACACAACCACAAACACCCAACCACAAACACCATCACAAACACACAGTCACAAACACACAGCCACAAACACAACCTCAAACACCCAACCACAAGCACCATCGCAAACACACAACCACAAACACAACCACAGCCCCAATCACAAACACGCAATGACAAGCACACAACCACCAACACAATCACAAACACACAGCCACAAGCACAAGCACAACCACAAACACAATCACAACCGCAACCACAAA